GGAGTGCAGGCGTGCACGAACAGCATTGGAAGCAAGTTTAGAGTTTTAGGTGCGCGATTCTGGCGGGCCAGTGGGATTCACTCACAAAGTTGGATGTGGGGCAGAAAGTTGGTGAATTCACAGAGAATCTGCTTCAAATCCATGAGGGAGGCCCGATGGAATGCAATGCCTTCCAGCCTCCCCTGAGCAGCCACCATCTTGTCTTCTCTGTGATTGAGATTCCAGGCAGAAGATGGTCTGCCCATTGAGAGCTGTCAGTGAATCAGAGCCTGGCAGATGGTAGATTATGACACATGCACACACACTGCAAAATTGTAGCAGATTGGAGTCCTGCATCAGCCCCTTCCATCCACCAATTTAACCAAGCCAGGGTAGATTATTCCACTGCTGGGGGATGGATGAGGGACCTCTCTCAAGATTACATTGCATTGGTCACTAAGGCTCCTGCTCTAACACATTACATTAAATCCAGCTCAATAGCTTTATTATATACTGTAATAAGCAATTATATCTTAAAATATGCACCTTAATATGTGCGGCATGTCCCAGCATTTATCTCTTGTAGCTGCCTCTCTAGATCGGGAACATGATGCATTTTTCAATTTAAACCCTGATTTTATAGATGGTGAATCTCTTCACATAAAACGATGCTACTATAATGGAACAAGCATGCATGAGGTGAACAACATATTAGTAATATATTTAAATTATCTGATCTCTCAAAACAATAAACAATTGTTATGTCTGATTGAAACAGTGCTGTCTTTATATGACAGAAACAGAAAGAATTTGAGGGATATTGAATGGACAATAAAAGATGCAGACATTTATTTATTTCAGATGAGAAATTTGCTGTATGTTTTACAGAAGTTAAGTAAGGTTAATTGATTTTATTTTTCTTTAATATGCATTTTTCAAACTGCACTTGCTTACCAGTGATTAGCTGGTAAATAGCTTGTCATTGATTCTAAACATCCTAGGGGTTATTGTTGTCCAGAAACTGAACTGGATTGGCCATATAACTACAGTGGCTACAAGAGCAAGTCAGAGGCTGGGAATCTTAGAGCAAGTAACTCACTTTCTGACTTCCCAAATCTGTCACCATCTACAAAGCCCAAATTGGGAGTGTTACGTAATCTTCTCCATTTGCCCAAATAAGGACAATTCCAACAAAACTCAGGAAGCTTGATAGAGGACATAGCTGTCTACATGATTGGCATCCTGCCCACCACATTTACTATTCATTCCCTTCACCAATGGCAGCTTCTACAAGATGTACTGCAATAAATTATCAAGGCTCCTACACCTTCCAAAACTGTGACCTCAGCACCTAGAAGGACAAGGGCAGCAGATGCATGGGAACAGCATCATCTGCAAATGCTTATCCTTTCTTCCTTGCATCTGTATTGCCCTTCCCTCAGTGTCACTGAGTCAAAATCCTGTAGCTCCCTATCTAACAGAATAGTGGAAGTAACTAAACCTTGAGGACTACAGTGGTAAAGACAGCAGCTCACCATCACTTTCTCCAGGACAATTAGGAATGGGCAATAAATGGGCCATGGCCTGCGACACTCACTTCTCATAAATGAATAAAGGATTTCTGAGAGGGAGGGAATATCTGTATTGACGACTCTTGTTCGTTTTCTGTACATTCACAAAACATTCATACAACTCTGTCGTTTTCGTGGGATTTCCATAGCTTTGCTGCTTAAATTATAGAAAGCAAAAAGAATGGGCATGTAATAAGCAAATTTATCTCAACATTGATAAGTTTAGGGTGGTGCATTTTAGCAGGAAGAATAAGGAAAACACATTCTGCTTTGATATTAAGAGTCTCAATGGTGTAAGGGAGCAAAGAAGTCTAGTGGCAGGGATATTCAAATCAATAAATATATTGGCTATTTAAAAAAAAACAAATACAGTACAGGATTTCTTTCTGGAGGAATAAAATTGTAAAGGTAGTCAGTAATAATAAACTTGCCTAGTCCCACTGTCAGACCATACTTGGAGTATGATGGGCAGTTCTAGTCTCCATATAAAACAAATTGGATATAGAAGCTCTGTGGATTGCAAGAATAATGCCAAAACTAAAATGTTATGCAGTAGATGTCTGATATAACGTGAATGTTGTAGACTGAAAAATGAAACTGGACTGTGCTATAGCTGAATTTATCAGACAAAGACATCTTATTTAAATCAGCTTTATTACTTGTCAGGGAATTCATGATGCTGCCACAGAATCCATGCAATTTAGATTTAGCCATTTAAAACATGTACTATTGCAAGCGGAGATTTCAGTTATTTCATTCGTTAGCACAATTTCCCAGAACCTGCCCTCTCATTTGACCATAGATGAGGGACAATCCATGAGATGTGATTTAAACCACCATGCACTCATAACATTGAATTTGTAACTTTAAATATGGTGTTTATACATGTGAACAAAAAAAAACAAAGAAATGCAGATGCTGGAAAAAATACAACAGGTCTAGCAGCATCTGTGGAGAGAAAGCAGAATTAATGTTTCAGGCCCAGTGACCTTCCTCAGAACTGGTACAGAAGCTTGAACACACACACCAGCAGGTTCAAGAACAGCTTCTTCCCTGCTGTTATTAGACTGATGAATGGACTTTCTAATTTCAAACAGTTGTTGATCTTGTTAATGTTAATCTTGCTTTGTGAACCTCCTGAGCAGCCGTAATATTATATCCCTCGTTCTGTCTAAGCACCCTATGATCTGTATATCCTTGTTTGCTCTGATCTGGCTGTACTATTCGCAAAATAAAGTTTTTCACTGTGACTACAATAAATCAAATCACAACTGTGAACCTGCTGAGCTTTTCCAGCATTTTCTGATTTTGTGTTTATACAAGTAGCTGGGCTGGTATTATAATTGCAATAGCCAAGAACAAACCAGCAGCCTCAAGGATTAAGGTAAAAACAGGTTGGAAATGAAATGCTCTGATCTGCTACCAACCTGATTTTCCCAGTCCACCTGCATATTGAAGTACCCCATGATTATTGTCATGGCGTCATTCTTATATTCTTTTTCTATCTCCTCACAGCGCCAGGGACCTGGGTTCGATTCCACCTTCAGGCAACTGTCTGTGTGGAGTTTGCACGTTCTCCCCATGTCTGCGTGGGCTTCCTCTGGGTGCTCTAGTTTCCTCCCACAGTCTGAAGAAGTGCAGGCTAGGTGGATTGGCCATGATAAATTGCCCTTAGCGTTCAGGGATGCCTAGATTAGGAGGATGGTTCTGGGTGGGATGCTCTGAGGGTCAGTGTGGTCACTTGTTGGGCTGATGGGCGTGTTTCCACACTGTAGGGATACTTATGAAGTAGTTAAACAAATGCTCTGTCAGGTATCCCCAGAGTTGTAAAATACTCCATATTTGGAAAAGCTGTTATTCCCAGAGATCTGAACAATGTTTATTCCTGAACAAACTAAAAACAGATTGTCTGGTCATTATGATTGCTATGTATG